AAAAGAGCCCAGGCAGTGAAGCAGAATGAGGATATTAGAAGGGAGCAGCAGGTTTTCCAGCAGCTCTGCTCTGCTCAGGGTTATTGCATTGATGTGTCCAGCAGAGTCAGGCTCTTCCCTTGGGAATCTGTGCTGGGCAGGACCTGCTGCAGGGGAGCAAAGAATAGTCAGTGTTCATACCTGAGAACTAGTCTGATGTAAAGGCTTAAGGAAAGCTTTGATTCCAGGCCTGGCCCAGGTGCTTAAAAATAATAAGTTCTGTGCATATGTTGTTTTGTGTAGCTGGTGGAGGCTTTGTCCTGCTGGCAGGTGGCTGGATTCCTCCCTTTGGAGAGGAAGCTGTGGTGACACACACTGCACTTCCACATTTGTGTGAGCAGAGCTTCCTTGTGTGTGTTAAGGTTGGGCTGTGTGAATTCTTGAGGAGAGTTTCCTGTAGGCCTTCTGGGGAAGTTGCCCGGGTCTGTCCAAAACACAACTGTGCAGAGGGACCTGAATGCTTGGGACTTGCTTGAGCTGCCAGGAAAGCTGCCTCCCAGTTATCAGACTGGTCTGGGGGTGCTGAGGGGCCCAGGAAGGGCTTGGGTGCTCTCTGCAGTGGGTGGGGGCCTTACAGACTCCTTTTGCTTCCAGGTGGCCGAGGCTATGAAGCAGATGCAAGAAAAGAAGAATGTTGGAAAAGTCATCCTGGTTCCTGAAGCACCCAAGGAAGAATCTAAAAAAGCAGAGAACTAAGGAGAAGAGATGTATGCAGATTATGAATTCATGGTTTAACTCCCTGATCTCTTTGGGACCTGGAAATGGACAGATCAGTATCTTCCATCTTTCACCAGTACAAGAACATCATGGTTATCATTCAAATGAGGTTTGCATGCTCTTGTTATGACTGACCCTTTGCCAGATATGCCTCCTGCTCTCTCTTTTGAAGCCTGTTTATTTCATACTGTTTTCTAACCACTTGTTTCTCCACTGAATTTCCAGATTAACCTTTTTCTCTGGCAGTGAGGCTGAAGCTTCCAAGCAGTTGGTGACTAACAACTGCACAGCCTGTCACTGTAAAGTCACAGCACAATGTACTGTAACAACTGCCAAGTGTCTCTGCAGAAACAGCCCTGCTGAATTGTTTGCACTGTCAGCTTTGGGAAGCCTGTTCAGCAGAGGATTGGCCAAATGTAGGATGCTTCCTCCACAGCCAAAGGAAAACCACAGCTGGGCTAGTTTAATTTGAGCAGAGGTTGCCCTTCTGTTCACACTAACTCAGCTCTATTCCCTCTGCTTTTTGTAGGCCACTAACACAGCCAGATAGTAACAGCCCATGTTGGTTTTGCCTTGCAATTTGGAGTCTATGGCAGATCATACTTCATTTGCAGTCTGTAAATACCCAGACAGGCTGGGCTATGTCTGACTACAGAAGAAAAGTTTCAATTAGATAACCTGATGCTGTCCATTTTCTATTTCCAAATTGTATAGAGAGATCTGAGCAGTGTCTGATTCTTAGAGACTGTAAGGACTCAACTGTGTCTTAAATGACTGGAACAATTGATGTTGGCTCTGTGCTTTATTATGTTGGGCTCCAAGTTGGTATTGTCAGGGCTTCACCCTTCTCTTTGTATTTCCAAGGGCTGCAGTATTGAATTGGACTTCACTGAAATGAAAACAGAATAATCCCCTATTAATGCTTTGTGCAGTGCCCTGTGCACTGAGGAGGTGTTGCAATTTGGGAAGGAACTTTCAAGAGCGACTCCTGTGGGCTGGCTGCCCAGCAGTGTGGGCTGGCTCTGGCTGTGGCACACTGGTTGGTAAAGCTGTTGCCAGGGTAGCAGTTAGATGGTAAACAACCCAGCTGTGTGTCAGGCCTCTTGACCTGCACATTCTGAGCAGTTTCCCGTTGTGTCCTAGCTCATTTGCTGCAGCAGGGCTTGACTCTTCTTCCCCTGAATCTGTGTCTTGGGGCTCCAGCGCTGAGGGTTTGGGAGCTGCCTGGGATGCTGCTCCCTATACCAGAACTGTTTCCTCTTCTTTTCTTTCCTTGTGTGCATTTGGAAACAGAGCTGTGTAGAGACCCAAGCCCAGCTCTGTGAGCACCTTGAGCCCTGGGTGATGCTGTCCTTCCCACTGGACCCTGCCTGCAGCACTGGGGAACTCTGGTGCTGTCGGTGCTTACCTGGCATGGATTGTAGGTGTGGTGGGCTTTTGGGCTTCATTTTGGATTTGAAATGGTAAACCCAAGGGCACTAAGAAGAGCTGCCCATCATGGAAGAACTTGTGCTTCAGAAGCAAAACCTTGAGACTAGAATCCTGCTTAACTAGCCCAAAGGGAGGGCCCAGGGCCCAAGGAGGGCAGGTACCCGCTGGGCACAGGGCCGGGCATGCAGCCCCATCACCACCTAAGAGAGCCCAGGGCTGGAGTTCCTCTCTGGCTTCTCCCTCAGCCTCCTCCAGTGGGACTCCTGTCTGCCACTGCAGCTTGTGCTTCAGGTGCTTGGGCTCAGAGTTCTTTAACAATGCACTGGCACAGCTTCCAGGGTCGTGCCCTGGCTAACTTTAAATATTGCAACAATCCTGTTCCCTACAACCTCAGAGGAGTGCTGGAGTCCTCTCACAGATCCTTGTCAGTTCATCTCTTGAACTTCATAAACACAGGCTGATGGAACTCTCAAGCACAACTTTTTACCTTTCTGAATCCAAAATCTTGCTGCTTCTTTCAACCTGATCTGTTGTGCTAATTTAGGTTGAATCCAACAGTGTCTAATGCTGCTTTACCAGGTGTGAAAACAGAAGGACTGTCTAAATTGCTGAAATGGAAAGTCTGGACCTGTTCCTCTGAGAAACTGGACTTCACCTTGATGCCAGGGCAGCATGCTCAAAAGGCACACACAACCCTGCACATCTCCTGGCTCTGCATGGTTGTAAAAGGGAAGCTGTTATGGTGTGTTTCATAGTAACATCCTCTCTCTCCCTGCTTTATCCTGAGCCAGTCTCGTGCTCAGTGCCTTACGTGGATGGCCTTGGGTCAGGCAGTGTGGCAGGGCTCTCACAGCTCCCCATCAGACCCCTCTGCCCTGCTGCCTCCTGTGTGCCACAGCAAACAGCATCTTGGTGCCTTCTGCTACATGACTAGGGAGTCACTGGGGCCTTTTCCATTCTGGCCTTTCAAAGTATTGCCAAAACACTGTTTTGACTCTTATTAGCTCTGTTTTGTGAACTCTGGTGATGTTGTTGGACTTTCCATGAATTAGCTGTTCTCTCCCCAGGTGTTCCAGCCTTTCTGGGGCTGACCTGGTGCTTCTGTACCCCCCAGTCCCTGTTGTAAAGCCCTTGTCTTTCCCAGGGCAGCTCCAGAGTGAGGCTTTATCAGCTGCTCCAGCCTTGGCTCTTTAGAAACAATCCTAGCTCCTGGCTCTTTTTGTCTTCTCACATGTCTTCTACGTAGAAATTCCTGAAGCTCTTATCAAGGCGGAACACCAAGCAGTTACTGCCTGTTCGAGGTCAGCACTGACTGTTTTGTGTCTCTTGGTAGCAACAGTGTTTTCTACAGGAAGAGCAAGATTAAATGTAACCTTGCAATCCTCTGCCGCTGCTCAAAGTTCTGCTTTAGGTGGGTGTGGTTGGTTGTTTTGGTTTTTTACTTTTCTTTTTTATGGGCCAGTAAGTCTAGAACCTATGTACAACAACTTCAAGTGTCTTAATCCAGTTAACCAGCCGGTTTGTATACCAAGGACCAAAGCATAAAAACCAAAACAAAACCCTAAGATAAAAATCATTCCATTCAATGTTGCTTGTTTAGGGCAAAGTTGTGCTACTGAGGAACTGGGAGATTTCTGTACTTAATCATGTGTGCCATTCCAGAAGTGCAATTTAATGTTTATTTTACTGATTGTCTTGACTGAAAGGTTGTGCCATGAGGAGTCCAAGTGGAAGTGTAAGGAGATGATGAGTGGAGGAGGCACCCACGGCCCTGCCTGCTGCAGGGGGCTCGGTGCCAGTGCCTCTCCTGTCCTTGCTGTAGTGGCCTCCCAGCCTGGTGCTGCTGCTTTTGGACAAAGTGTAACTCCTTTGCTATCACCAGGCAGCAGTTGCCACATTTTTTGACTCTGAAGCTCACTTGTGTTGCAAGCTGACTGCAGGGGGGAAGGGAGCAGGGGTGGCCTCTGCTTGCACAGAGGAGTGTGGCCCCTGCCAAGTGTTCTGGGAAGGAGTTCAGCTCTCTGTTTTGTTTCAGACACCTGTATTAAACTAGAATTGATTGGCCAGGGAGAAGTAAGAAGCACTGTGTGTGTGATGCTTCAGCTGGTGCAGGATTCTGGCCTGCTGACAGCTGCTATCATAGGTGTTAAACCACTCGGGTTGCCTGAAGTCTCTGGTGTGCTGAGCCCTTGTGATGGCAAAGTGTTATTGGCAAGTAGTACATGAGCATGATGTGAAATGTGTTAGACTCTGAGTGAGCCTCTTACAGCATATGGTCTGGTCTGTACTGTCTGAAGTGTGTTGATTTGCAGATTTGTGATATGAGTGATGCTCATCCTACAGACACATAGCAAATCTTTTGTTTAAAAAATATATTTCGCTTTGTGCGTGTAACCAAGTTGGACAGAAGACAACTGTGCCACTGCTGTTTACATGACTACAATGTGTACTGCTCCTCTGTCAAATGTTACCATATGCCTTATGTGTTTCAAATGTTAATTAAAAGCATAACAAAACCTGCTTTTATGCTGCTCAGGTTTCTGTTGCCATGATCCCTCTGCCCACAGCAGATTCAGTTGACAAAGTGTAATGCTCCCAGCAGGAGGAGATGCCTCTGCTCTCAGTGACAACTGTTAATTACTAGCTTGAGTGATGTTCCTGACACTCATCCTGGAGGGCAGCCATGGGGATTTTTGTTTGTGAAGCCTTTAGCTGGGCTCTGCACTTCCTATCTGAGTGTGTCAGTAGCCAGGTGGGACTGAAGTGGGTGCCTGGGCTGAGGGTAAGACAAGGCATGAACAGCCACTACCAAACATAAGAATAAATCCTGTTTATTTGTCAGCATAGAGACTGTCCCTGGGAGGCAACTGCTGTGGGTGCTGAAAGCTGTTAATGTTCTCCTCAAGAGAGCACCAGGTCACCTGCTGGCCTCAGAGCAGGGGCTGTCTGCTGGGGCCTGAGCTGTCAGTGTGAAGAGCTGACAGTAAAGACAGTTCATCTCTGGCCCCAGCCCTGGCAGCAGCTGAGCTGGAACCTTTCTGTAGTGGCAGGAGGTGGAAGAGACTTCCAGAAGCTGGGGCTGGACTAGGTGCAATTCCTGCCTAGGTTTGTGTCTGCTACTGAAAGCCAAAGGGGGGCTCAGCTCTGTGATTTCAGGACATGCATCCAAGAGAGGCTGGAGTTTCTGGGAAACACGGATCCATGCTGAGGCCTGCATGGGGCAGGGATGGAGATGCTGCTCTTTGCTAACGTGCAGAGTTCTGGCTACATGTGGGGAAAGCAGGAGCTCCTTTGACAGACACCTGCTTTTTCCTGAGCTGTCTCTGTTAAGCTGCAGTTTTCTCAGCAGGAGAAGAAGGCAAAGGGAAGGCACAGGCTGTGGCTGTGCCAGGATCACACAAGGCCCAGTTTATTGAGAACTGTGCCAACCTCACGGAGGTACTGGGCATCCGGGTAGCCATTCCTGTGGGGCAGAGAAGAAGCACTGTAAATCCTGCTGATGTGGGCAGCAGCCTTTTCTTTTTGTCCCACTCTTTCAGCAGGGCCTGAGAGGGGAAGTCCTGCTCCTGGGGTGTCCTGCTGCCTCTGCAGGCACAGCTCATACCCAGCACTGGCATGGGAAAGGCTGTAAGTGAACAGGGCCCACAGTTCTTGTCCATGGAGAATTACAGGCTTCCACACCACTTATGGCTGTGGGATGGGCAAGGGCTTTTGCTCCAGCTGGAGAGTCCCAGGGCTGGTCTGCCATGCCATAGCTGCCCTGCAAGCTGAAGCAAAGGGAAGCACCAACTCTGCCACTGTGGGAGAGTGGAAGACCCATCTCTGCCAGGATTTGTTGAGCTGGAGCCCATGGTTCTCCTCCTCCCATTGCTAAAAAACCCATAACCATACCCAGAAGCTTAGAATGAGCTGGGCCATACCTGGCTTTGCCTCCATCCCAGGAGGTTTTGTGGGGGATAAGGCCCCATGTTACTCTTTCCTCTCCATTGCAGGGCTTGATCTGGAATGTCAGCCCACATTCAAATGCTTTCTTCAGCAGCTTTGCTGTCTTCAGCCCTTCCTTGTTATGAGGCAGGAAGGCACGAAAATTCCCCCCTTTGTAAGGGTGTCCTGGGCGAGGGTGCCCAACCTTAGAACAGGAATAAGACATTTTAAACAATGGCTGGAGTGCTTTGTCTCTGAGGGGACTTCTAAGGTTTGTCTAGCTTGAAAACTACACTGATGACCATGATCCCCATGGGCTGATAGTCACTGTCAACTAAAACCAGAGGTCACACATGCTCTTGAGAAGCAGGAAGCTGCTCCAAAACCTGCTGTGGAGCTTTTTGCCTTTCATAGGTTAATATCTCTGCTGCTTTGCCTGTGGGGCAGGGAGCTGTGGCTGCTCTTTTCCCCCCAACCATCCTGACAGATATCTCCCCGTGTGGGCTGCAGTGGGATGGGGAAGCTCTGTGGTGGTACCTACCTCCTGCACGCCATCAGGGATGCTGTAAGCAAGCTGAAGTGTTGGGTCCTGAGAGTATCCAGGCAGGCTCTGAGACACGGAGGAGATCTTCAGTGTCCCCAGGATACTGCAGCTTGGGGCAGCTGAGGAGGATCCACAGCAAGCTGGCTGCATTCTGTCTGCTGCAAAACATGTCCTGCACAAGGTGTGACCACAGGAGCCCTGGCAGGTCACACCTGAGTCCTTGCAAGTGTCACATTGGTCCAGAGGGATCATGCTGCTTTCCTGTCCAAGGCTGGGGTCTCTTTTCTGCTGTGATGGGAGGTCAGGCTCTTCCTGCTCATTGCTCCTGCCCCCTGGGAGCTGGGCCCTTCCCTGATCTGTGGGCTCTGCTGCAGGTGCCTGGTGGGCCACAGATGGGGGTGGCTCAGCAGCCACGGCCCTGGATAGCCAGGTGGGCAGAGAGTGAGGAGCTTCATCAGCTGCAGGGACTGGACAGTGCTGCTGTCCCATTGCTTCATTGTGGCCTCCTCTGCTCTTGTCTCTTGCAAACTGGAATCTGTCTGGCAAGAGTTGTTTTAGCCGGGTGCTGTCAGGCTCCCCCAGACACAGTTTTGTCTTCCGCTGTTCCTGGAGCTCCCTCGGGCCAGGAGGACTTGGCTTATCCCATGGACCAAGGCTCAGAAGGCTGCTTTCTCCTCTCCCAGACCCAGAATCAATATAGCTTCTGGCCTCCTCCTGCCCCCAAGCCTGCTGGGACCTCCAAGGATTGAGGGATCTCTTTTCCTCAGCCTCTGGCAACCAGGAAACCCTGAGCCCACATTTAGAGTCCACTTTATCGATGTTCAGGTGCTGTAGGGAATTCAGGCTGCCAGGAAGGGCTGCATCCAGCAATGGGTCCTGCCTTCTGATTGACTGGATGACACTTGATTTCCCTGTACTCTCTGGTTCAGGAAACATGGATAAAGATTTCATGGCACAGAGCCTCCTAGAAGAAAACATGTGGAAGGCCTCAGCCACTCCTGGAAGCATCTCCTTAGGGCAGGCAAGATAGAGCTTGTACTTGTCTTTGCTGAGTCCAACCTGGAAGGATTTTCCTCGCAAGAGGCTGCACAGTTCACTCAGGTCACTGTCATCTGGACCACTAACAGCAAGCTCTGAGTAGCTCACACTCTGACACACCAAGTCAGGGCACTTCTGCACAAGATCTTCCATCTTCCATTTTGCCTGGAGCAGCCTTCCCCTGTCATCTGCCTGCAGCGTCAGCACTGTGCAGTCCCCAGCGTGGCGCTCCAAGATGTGCACCCCTCCAGCCCTGCACAGCTCATCAATAGTGGCATGGCGGACATCTTTCAGGTAAAACCACTGCAGAGTGTCCAGGCTCATCTCCTCACTCACTCTGCTGCTGCTGTCTCCAGAGTTGTTGCTTTCCTTTGACCTTGGTAGGGAGAAGCTGCTGGACCGTCGCAGCACAGACCTGGATGCAGAGGGTTTGCAGCCTAAAACAAAAGAAGTCCATGTCACATCACAGTTGCTGTTGATGCCAGCTAAGGAGTTGTACCCAATGGGACCTGAGCCTTTAGAATACTCAGGATGCTGAAAAGTGCTGTTTGCTTTGCCTTCAAAGGGCAACTGCACCTTCAATCCTGTGAGTCCGGCACCTCCTTCCACATGGCCCCTTTCTCTGTGGTCGTTCTGCTGAGGCTCTGCTGCTGACCCCAGAACTTTATCTGTCACAGGGGTGGGAGGCCGATACTGCTGGGTCAGTGCCCTTGGGTCACTCTGACCAGGAGCATCTATCTCTGATGAATGCTTCCCAGAAAGCTGCACCTGTCCCACTGGTGGAGAGTCCTGATTCATCAGGAGGCCCTGGCCAGCCTGAGACCTGTCATCATTCAGGGTGCTGAAGTTGGCAGCTAGCTTGAACTCACCTTTCAGCTCCGGTCTGCTTGAGCTAAGCCTTGTGGCTGAAGTATGCACAGGAGCTTTGGCCAGGTGTAGTGCATCCTCTGTGGTGCCAGAGGGCTGGGAGCTGCTCAGCATGTCAACCGTGTGTGCAGCACCTCTCCTGGTGACAGAATCCTCAAGGAACTGCTTGGCCTTGGACACATCAACACGGTTTCCAACAAGATAAAGCTGCTTCACATCCTCATGGCAGAGCAGCTGGGGATACAGCTTCTGCAGCTCACATGTCAGAGCCCTGAGTGCCTGGCTGTCCATTCCCAGCCCTTCCTTAGCAATCTTCTCCTTGCACAGGCTCACCTCCAGCTGCTGGTAGAGCTGCTGCAGGGCCAGGCGGGCCTGTCGCAAGGCATCCATGTCCCCAGGCACGCCTCCAGATGGGTGGAGGTACAATACAGCGATGCCATCGCCACTGACATGCACCACATCCACGTGATGTTGGTGCAGCACACCCTGGTACTCAGCAGCACAGAATCTCTGCATGTACAAGTAAATGTCCGAGTCCATTGCTAGGGAATAGTCCTCCAGCTTCCCCAAAATTTCCACAGCTTTCCCACCCGCTGGGCTCTGAGATGATGGGGCTTTAGCTGCCATTTCACACACCTGGTCGCAGTCTGGCAGCTTTGCTGTCTCTTGTGCTGACTCAGTGGAGTCAGGCACTTGCTGCTGATCATGCATTCCCACCTTTTTGGCCTCACAGCTGGAAGCTGGCAGGAGGATCTGGCCAGTGGCATCTCTCTTGAGGTTCAGGCTGCCCAGCAGGTCTCTGCTGAAGGTCTGCAGCTCAGTGAACGGTCCCTGGACTATGCACTGCATATTCTGTGAGTCGAAGCTGAAGTGTATATTGCTGTAGTCTTTGTGCAAGTCCTTCAGGAGGGTTTTGCCCGTGGGCAGCTTGCCATAGTCAATTGTCATGTTCACATGTGTGAAGATCTGCAAGTAGATAGCAAGGGAGTGAGAGAGCAAGGACCAAAACCAACCCCTTTCAAAGGCACAGAAGGCAAGTGGCCCCTGCATCACTGTGACAGAAGAGAAGACACATTCTTCCACCCCTCTCCCTCAGCACCCTGCTTTCAAGAGAGATGGACCCTGACACAGACAGGACCAAAAAACCCAGACTAAGCAACTCATTGACCTTGTGCACTCATCAAAAGCTTTCCGCAAACAAGGAATCAGAGGGTAAAATTGCACAGAGATAGGGTCACATTTCTACACTGAGAGCTCTTCAAAAAGCCCAAACCCAAGAAATCCACTATTGTTTCTGCATCTGAAACGCAGCTGCTCTCTTGCCTTTGCAGACCTTCAGCTCCAGATCTTCAAGCAGTTTTGGCACCACAGGCTTGCAAAAAGGTCTGCAAGGCCAGGCTAATTCCCATGCCCTTGTTTTTGGGACTCAGACACGAAAACATGGCACATGGCTGCAGTCACGGTCTCTTGAGACTGCAGGAAGAGACAAGAACTCTCCTGTGCTCCCTAGACACCAGCATGTCTGTATGCTAAGCTTTCCTGGGAAGGAAATAGGAACAATACACTGTAAGTCCAGCTGATGACACGGCAGAGGCATTAACAGGATCCCCCATGTGGCACCAGATGGACTGGGGAAAAGTGCCTCTTCTCTGCCAGCCTGACTACCCTCCATGTGACAGGCACAAATGCCAGATGACTGAGCTGCACAGCCTGCCTGCCTGTCCCTGTGCTATTAGCACAGGGAAAAAAAAAATCTTCATTTGAATATGAATGAAAATAGATTTAAGTGTAATTAAGATGAAAGGAGAGAGTAAGGTCCCCCTTCTCAAGCTGTCTGCCAGGCACAGAGTCTGTGGGAGCAGCTGGGGCTGCCATGTCCCCTCAGTACCTCATTAGGGCTCAGCTCTGCAGCGTGTGGTGTCACCTCCAGCGGGTACCGTGTCTTTCCGATTGCCAGCACGTGGTTTTTCACCTTCAGGATCCTCTGGGCCACTGGTGGGAAAAGCCACCCAGACTCATGTCAGCCCAGCCAAGGGACAGCAGTGGGGCCAGGGACAGTGGGACGGGGAATGGTGGGGCTGGGGACAGCAGGACAGGGGCACTAGGACACAGGATGGTGGGACAGGGAAGAAGGGGCAGGGGATAGTGGGAGAGAGAAGAGTGGGACTGGGGATGGTGGGAGAGGGAACAGTGGGGCTGCGGATGGTGGGACAGGGAAGAGTGGAGCTGGGGATGGTGGGACAGGGAAGAGTGGGACTGGGGATGGTGGGAGAGGGAACAGTGGGGCTGGAGATGGTGGGACATGGAACAGTGGGGCCGGAGATGATGAGGCAGGGAAGAGTGGAGCTGGGGATGGTGGGACATGGAACAGTGGGGCCGGAGATGATGGGGCAGGGAAGAGTGGAGCTGGGGATGGTGGGACAGGGAAGAGTGGGGCTGGGGATGGTGGGACAGGGAAGAGTGGGGCTGGGGATGGTGGGACAGGGAAGAGTGGGGCTGGGGATGGTGGGACAGGGAAGAGTGGGACTGGGGATGGTGGGACGTGGAACAGTGGGACTGGGGATGGTGGGAGAGGGAAGAGTGGGACTGGGGATGGTGGGACAGGGAAGAGTGGGACTGGGGATGGTGGGAGAGGGAACAGTGGGGCTGGGGATGGTGGGACAGGGAAGAGTGGGGCTGGGGATGGTGGGAGAGGGAACAGTCGGACTGGGGATGATGGGACATGGAACAGTGGGACTGGGGATGGTGGGACAGGGAAGAGTGGAGCTGGGGATGGTGGGACAGGGAAGAGTGGAGCTGGGGATGGTGGGACAGGGAAGAGTGGAGCTGGGGATGGTGGGACAGGGAAGAGTGGAGCTGGGGATGGTGGCACAGGCCAGGCCCCCGGCGTTACCTTCCGGCGCCTCGAAGGTGATGAGGGCGCAGGGCAGGGAGCCGGGCAGCACCCGCACGCTGGCGATGTCCCCGCCGCCGTTGCGGGAGCGCAGGAAGTGAATGGTCAGCTTGTCGGCCGCCCTGTCGGGAGGCAGCTCGGCGGGGAAACCCTGCACCCGCACCGTGCGGCCCGCCATGCCCGCGGGGGCGGCTGCCGGGCCCCGCCACACCGGCACCGGGCCCTCGCTGCCCGCTCCCGCCGCGGCTCTGCGGCCTCGGCTCCGCTCCGGGCCCGCCGCCACGAGGAAACGAAAGCGAAAGCGGAGCTGCCCCGCCCGGGCCCGCGGGAGGAGCGGCCCGGCCCGGCCCCTCGCAGCCCGGCCCCTCAGAGCTCAGCCCGGTCTGGCCCGGCCCCTCAGAGTTCGGCCCGGCCCAGCCCCTCAGAGCTCGGCCCGGCCCAGCCCCGCCCGGCCCCTCAGAGCTCAGCCCGGCCCGGCCCGGCCCCTCAGAGCTCAGCCCGGTCCGGTCCGGCCCCAACACAACAGACACGGTGGGTGCTCCCAACAGACGCTTTAATTCCCCCCGTGCCCGCGGGTCAACGGACGCACGGAGCTCCTCAGCCTCGGGCTGGCCAGGACTAGCCCGTAGCTGGCCAGGACTAGCCCGTGTCCTCCACGAACTCGGCCACCCCTGTCCGCCCCGCTGGGACGTAGGCGAGGGCATCCACCTCCCCGCCGCCGCGGCTGGGCTTCTGGAAGTGGATCTCCAGGACGTCTCTCATGGCCTCCTCACCCAGCACATCGGGGATGCCCAGGAGCAGGACGGTCGTGGGGCAGCGGGAGGGCTGCAGCTGGGCAGAGCAGCGGGTGAGGTGCAGAGCAGCACAGGGAGAGGGGTCTCAGGAGCCCCCCAGCCTCTGCTGCCTCCACCCAGGCTGGCAGGTGCTGCTTGCACAGGGTTCATGCCCTTACCTGCAGGTTAGAGATGTCTCCACTCATGCACGGTGATATTTTGATTTTGTATTTCCCTTTCCCAATGGGCATCTCGATATGTCCTCTTTCAATTAACGGCTCTGCCACTGCATATGGAGAGGAAAGCCCTGAGCTGCCACCGTCCCAGGTAAGCTCCAGGGGAGGTTCTGTCCCTGGCATAGGCACCAAGGCTGACACAGCCAAGCTCACTGCTCAGCTCACCCACACCAGCACTCTGGGGCAGGCAGGACAGCCTGAGGCTCACTCTACCTTCCCTGTTCCTCAAACACAGCTTCATCTGCTCTCAGATTTCCCCCCAGGGCAGGTCAGGCTGCTCCACCCTTGCCAGCCACCCAGGTTCAGCACACCCCCTGCACCTCCATCCTGTGTGAAGGTCAGCACCACGTGGCAAGAGTCCTCCAGGAACTCCCTGCTCTCCACCTCGCTGCCCCCATTCTTTGTCTTGCTGAAGAAGAGCTCCAGCTTGTCCAGCAGTGCCTCCTTGGAGATGTCCAGGCTGGGCAAGTCAGACACAAGGATGCTCCTCCTGCTGTGCGTCATCCTGATCTGTGGTGGCACCGGCCAGTCAGTGCCAGGGCAGGACTGGCCCCAGAGCTCGGGGGAGCAGTGCTGGGTGTGGCTGGTAGCAGTGCCCTGGTCAAGGCAGGCTCAGACGGGGTTCGCAGCATGCCCAGGGCAGCCCCATGGCATGGGGACCCACGGGCCCTACCTCCAGGGCAGATGGCAGCAGGATGTCCACTGGCACTGCCTGCACTCGCATTCTGCACTGGTCGAGCTCCTCCAGCTCCCCACAGCTCAGCTCCACCGTGTGCTCCCTCCTCTGTATGATCCTCTGGGCCACTGCGGGCAGGGAGAGCCCCAAGCACAGGGGAGTGACTGCCCACTCCCAGCGCTTTCCAGGACAGGACATGGCACAGCAAAGGTGTCAGGCAGGTGGCACAGCCCCACACAAGGCAGGGAGAGGGGCAGTGCCAAACTCTGGCACAAGGAGGGGACACAGGACAGGCCCCAAAATGATCAAGGACACCTGGCTCCAGCAGTGCTCTTCTCACACTTACCCTCTGCCTCCTCAAAGGTGATGAGAGCTGAGCCCCCTGGCAGAGGGTAGTGGATCAAGGGGGTGAGCATCAGCTTGCTCATGTCCTCCTTGTTTGCTGTGAGTCCCTTAAAGATCATCTTCTTTTCCGGCAAGGCAGACAGCATCTAGGTGCAAGTACAGACAGCAGCTGGAGGAGACTGGACCCTGCACAGGACATGTTGTCCCTGCCAATCCACGGACTAGGAAAAAACTCATGGCTCAAGTTACCAGCTGGAGAACCTCAGCAGTCTCTCCTAGCTGTGCCTGAAATCCCAAAGCCATGAGCAGAGCTCCTGGCCCTGACAGAGGAGCTGTGCCAGTCATCACACAGTGCCCAGCTGCATTCACCTGCAGCTTCTCCAGCCAGGCTTTTGCCCTTGCCAGCAGACCCAAGTGCCCACACACACTCTGTTACCATCACAGGATCATTCCAGAAGGCCCTTTTCTTCAGTTCTTCCAGTTTATTATTCAGAACCTCCTTCTCCTGCCTCAGTCTGTTGTTCTCCTCCTTTATTGCAAAAATCTGGCAGGAAGGAAAGAAGGAAATAGTGGGAAGTAGGGAACATCGGGACACAAGGGACTGCAGTACACTTCTGTTCTGAGCACAGCACTGTTCTTGGGCACACAGCTCCAGCCCGTTCTCCCGTTCTTGACTGGAGCTCTGCCCTGGCTCCTCTCCTCTGGGGACAGCCTTCCCCTCGCTGCAGCACTGTCTCACTTCTCGGCACAGGCCTTACGTTTCCCATGAAATCTCCGCTGGATCTCAAGCAAGTGATCTCAGAGCAGTGACCTGCATCATCAGCCCCCCTGCCAGTCTTCCAAACCTAAGATATCTACTGAACACTGACCTGCTGGGCTCTTTCTTCCCACTCTTCCAAACCTAAGACATCTACTGAACACTGACCTGCTGGGCTCTTTCTTCATCTCCATCTAAAGACAATTGTTGCTCAAAAGTGTTATGAAGTTCTTCTTTATTCAGCTCTTGTGTCCTTTGCTCTGCAGCTTCCTTGGCCATTTGTAGCTTTGCATGGTCTTGCTCCAGAACACTGTAAAGCTCCTGTGAGAAGCACCATCAAACAGCAAGACCCTGAGGACATTGCATCACCCCCACCAGCCACCCAGCCCCGGCACAGGCTGTGCCTGTGGGAATGAGCCTGGACCCTAGAACAGGCTCTCCTCTCCATGGGATTACTCCTCTCTGCCGCCTCTGACTCGTAGTTCTAGAGAAGACACTCGAGCTCCTGGCCAGGGCCGACCGGGGGGAGCCCGGCCGGCGGGGATGCGGCCGGCCAACCCCTCTCGGGCCCAGCCGGACGCACCTTGCACCGCTCGATCTCCTGCCGGAGCTGCTCGGGGTCCTGCAGCCGGACGAAGGACTCCTAAAGACAGGAGGGGTCTCAGCCGCGCTGGCCGCGCCCCGCCCGCCGCTCCCCGCGGCTCGGCTCTTCCTCACCTCCTCCGAATCCATCCCCGCGGCGCTGGCGGCACACGGCCCGGAGCCCCGGTCCCGCGGGGAGCCCCGTCCTGCCTCGCCCACCGGGACCGTGCTACCGGGAGCCCCGTGTCCGCTCTCGCCTTTCGCTTTCGTTTTCGCCAGCGCGCCCCGCCCCGGCCCCTCCGAGCTCAGCCCCATCCGACACCTCAGCGCCCTCTCTTCCCCCATCCCCGCCCCGCCTGACTCGCCTTCCGCGAACACCCACCGGGCCAGCCAGGAACGGAACAGCTACTAAATACAGAAACCAACTCGACCCAGCCCCTGCTCCCGGGGTGGGCAGCAGCCGGTACCACCCTTTGGGAAGCTGAAATCCAACACCCACAGGTCAACACACAAATCACCATAACCCGGAATCAGCCATTTGCCTTCCCTCTCTCACCCTTTTTTTTTTTCAAAGGGATTACCCCAGTTTTGGGAATAAGAGATTCCCGCTGTGGCAGGAACATCAAACACACTGCAGCTGCAGAAGGGAAGAACAGTCCTGGACACAGCTGGAGCAATCCCAGAGGTGACACCTGCCCCCATGGCTCGGGCTGCACAAGGCTCCACAAACATACTGACATTCACCTGGACTGCAATGGCTTTCTCAGCTCTTAGAGACACAGAACAAGCATGACCATACCACAAAGGCCATTGCTATTTGTTTTGTTATTTAACAAAAAAAAAAAAAAAAAAACACGGTTTTTAATAAACATTTATTGATGCAACCTCGTTACACCCTTAGAATCGCAGCTTCTGGAAGAACCACTTATTCTTGCCAGTTTTGTACCTGAAAGACAACACACAGGTTACAGGATATGTACCAGCAGGTAACAGCACCAAACCTGTACCTGAGCTGTCCCAGACAGACAGAATGTAGCACCTAACTCACCCAGAGGCAATTCACCTGGTCTCTATGGCCTTGGCTACAACTAAATCCACTTTAAATATTGAAATTCTAAGGGAAGCATATTTCAAGCTCCAGATTTCTCAAGGACACCTGCACTGTGGTAATTTCCACCCCAATGGGCACAAGCACAGGACATGGCCATCCTGCTGGAGACCTTGTGTGGCAGGGGGAGATGCCCTTGGAGAACAGCTCAGGGGCTGCCTGAGATTCTGTGTCCCACTGAGGCCACACAGCTCCTTCCTCTAAAGGAGCTTCTCAATAGAAAACCATAACGAAAGAGCAGAAACCCAAGCACTCCCCCACAAAGCATCAGCACTGCCCTGGCTCACCCAGCCCAGTGATAAAAGAAAGGATGAACTGGCAGCATCCTGTCAGATCATCCTGTGGCTCGATGGTGCACACACACACAGGTGAGAAGAACACACTCAACAAACTCACAAAGAAGCTGGGGTAGAAGTGCCAACTTGGAAATGCACAGACTATAGCACAGCGACACCAACTTTTCATGCTGGCTAAGAGCACCAGCACCACTGAAGAGATGAACTCCCAACTCACCTCTCCTCAAATTTCACCTTGGCTTCACGTCTTGCTTTGCGTTTCAGAGCAGGATCCCTGAACACGTCCTTATTGACCACTGTTTTGTCCAGGGGAATATCCACAGAATACCTGGGAGAGAGCAAACAGTTCAAAAGGGACATGGTACCTGGCACAGGACTGAAAACTAAGCAGAGCCAGGATCTGTCAAACACTCATTCTAGTGCTCGGTCAAGGAGTTACAGCTCATAAAGTCTCCTCAGTTCAGGAATCACCAAACCAAGCAGTCTCAGTCCAGCCTATACAGGAAACAGCCACATCCTTTCTGAGGGATATGTAACTCTGTTCCATGTAGTGCCTGGGAGCCGCTCCGGGAGCTCTGAGGCACAGTGAGAAATGGCTCTGCCAGCTCCAGACCCTCCCAGCTGTCCCAAACTGCTCACCTGCTGACACTCCCTGAGCATAGGGAAGCTCAGTGTGGCTAAAACAAGAACCAGCTGCCTCATCCCAAAAGTTCATTAATATTTCCACTCAGCCTCAGACCACAACTCAATTTTTGCAAAGCCTGAGCCTCACATTTACTCACTACACTAATGCCACGGCGTTAACAGCCTTGGTAACTCTCGGTGTTCAGCAGAGAACAGCCAAGACCCCTGCCGGCAGCAGCACTCACCGAGTGGGCATGAGGTGGTTGTAGTTGTAAACCTTCACGAAGGACTTGATCTTGGACCTTTTAGCGATCTTTTTCTTGCCCATGGCAGCAGTCACCTTACGCGGGTAGCGATCGATGCCGGCCACCAAGGCATGGCTGTACGGCCGGTCCGAGGTGCCATCGTCGATGTTCTGAAACAAACCGGCCGCGGCGGCAGTAGCACCGAGGAGCCACGACCCCGGTAGCACCGAGGAGCCGCGGTCCCGGTAGCACCGAGGAGCCACGACCCCGGTAGCACCGAGGAGCCGCAGCCCCGGTAGCACCGAGAAGCCACGATCCCGGTAGCACCGAGGAGCCGCGGCCCCGGTAGCACCGAGGAGCCACGACCCCGGTAGCACCGAGGAGCCGCGGCCCCGGTAGCACCGAGGAGCCACGACCCCGGTAGCACCGAGGAGCCGCGGCCCCGGTAGCACCGAGGAGCCGCGGCCCCGGTAGCACCGAGGAGCAGCAGCCCCGCGGGCCCCGCGCCCGTAGCGCCCCCCGGGCTCCTGCCCGCCCCGGCAGGACGGCGCGGCCCCGCCGGCCCAGCCCCACGCTCACCTTCACGATGACGGCCTTGCGCCCGGAGTAGCGGCCGGCCAGCACCAGCACCACCTTCCCCGGCTTCATGAACTTCCCCATCTCTGCGGAGACAGCAGCCGGCGGTCAGACCGTGCCCGCCACCCTCGCCCCGGCCGCCGCCCCCGCGGATGGCGGCGGATCCCGCGCCCGCCCGCACCCACCGAGGCTCCGCTGCGATGGCGCCGGGCCGGAAGGCAAAGGGAACGCTGCGCCGGGTTTTGTTCCGCCGCCCCACGTCACTTCCGCCGCGCCGCCGGCACCGAGTCCGCCTCAGCCGCTCCTACCCCGGGCACGGCGGTGCCGAGTCCGCCTCAGCCGCCCCCGCCCCGGCGGTGCCGGTGTGTGCCCCCCTCCGCCCCCTCCCCGGGCACGGCGGTGCCGGTGTCCGCCTCAGCCGCCCCCACCCCGCGCATGGTGGTGCCCGTGTCCGCCTCGCCCGCCCCCTCCCCGGGCACGGCAAGCACCACGTCAAAGCCCCAGTAACGGACAGAGCACACGGGACAGCGGCGGGTTCAGCCCACAGGTAGTACAGCGGTATTTAATATATCCCGCGGGACACCGGGCTGCTCTCACCCCCCACAAAAGCCTGGAACAAGGAGCTGGGGGCGTTGGACAAAGCGCCCCGGCAGCTCAAGGGACACAGAGCCTCAACACCTGCCAGCTCCCTCCTCCATGAGGGATCGTGTGTGCAAGGTGTAGAGCAGAGACTGTGAGAGACAACCACAAAGGAGCTCAGCAGCACATCCCCCAGCCGCAGGCCCTGTGGTCAGGCCTCTGCCCCCCACCCCTGAACAGTCACTGGCCCCTGGGCAGGGCAGTTTGGCCTGAGAGCAGCCGGGGGTGGGCAGGGCGAGGTGCTGCCCAACCTGCGGGCTCCAGCCACGCTGCAGGGTCAGCATCGGACAATACACTGCCAACATCATGACACCCTACGACTTCTGTAAAAGCAAATACCAAAGAGATGAACTTGGTCTTACAAAAGCCAGGCTTCTTGAGCCCAACAGCTGCCTACTAGTGGAAAATGGATGAATTACAATAAAAACACATCAAAACGCATCTTTGATGTTTTTCAGCTGCCGAACAGCCAGGTCCACCGGGAGGTTGAACTTCAAGTTGCTCAGGCGGCTGAGGAGGGTGAGCGCGCTTTCGAAGCCCGTGTTGGCCATGTAGCTCCAGGGCTGGTAGTGAGACTGAACCAGAGCTCCAGACTTGCAGATGAGGTTGAGCCACGAGACCAGGCGCTGCTCGTTGAGCGCCATGCACACCAGCGCCTTCAGCTCCGAGTCCGCGCTGCGCTTGAAGGGGCTGTGCTCCGTGAGCACCGTGTGGATGGCTGCCAGCAGGCTCTGCTTGGGGGTAGCCACCACTGCTCCTGTCACAGGCAAGGCGAAGGACTGGGACAGCTTGCGAGCTGGGGATTCCACGAAGGCTTGTCCATTTTTAGCGTTGTAATACTTGACAAAGAGTTCCCAGGGGTGCATGGTCCGCGGCGAGGGCGTGAAGGCAGGAATCAAGCATGCGATGGGGGCCAGCACCAGGCTCATACCTGGGGAAGAGGCGTAGAGCCCGTGGGCCAGCAGGTCCCGCAGAGCGACCGTCAGCTCCCTGCGCACAGCCAGGGTCAGCTCGTCCCTGCCGCCCAGGGGAACGTCCTGCAGCTCAGAGGAGCAGATAACATGCTCTGCCTGCTGGTGTTTCAGGGCAAGCTGCCTCACCCGCTCCACCGACAACTCCAGTTTCTCTATTAAGGGGGAGAAGTCCTGGTTGTCTTGGTCCTTCTGCCAGAGGGTGCGAGGGATCTGGCCTGTGGCACAGCCAAACTGGCTGACAGCAAAGATCTGCAGCACGGCCAGCACGCGGCGCATGAGCTGCAGGCCCGTTTCTTGCATCCTTCTGGCATCTTCTGGGTTCACTGACCAGGTTAGAAAAGAGAAAAACATGTTCTCATTAGGGAGTCAACAACTCTGCTTGTTCATTCGCACAAGGGAGAGCAAATATTTGAAAATCTCTTCAGGATAGCATTCTGAGTAGCAGCAGATGCCTCATGCTACATTATTTTATTTCCAGCAGGTTCAAGGGATACGTAGGGATGTCTCAGACTCTAAAGAACACTGTACCGGCTCACAGAGCTCAGAGCTTGAAGAGCACAAATTACAGCGTGTTTTGCACCAAGTATCAGCAGTCTCTTCCTGACCCCCACTGAGGACAGAGCCCACCCTCCATGCCACATGCTCAGACTCTGTGACTACTCTGAGGATCCCATGGAAGGAGGGTAAAGGAACAGGACACAGGCCTTCAGCAGAGGGAGTGCCAAAGCACAGAAACCAGCTGCCAGGAAAAAGCACACATTGACTGGTTCATGCTCATCAAAGCTCCAGGGAGGAGCTGGAGCTTTGCTGACAGTGCTGAGCCCAGCAGTGCTCACCTCTGCTCCCAGCAGGCCGGGTGCTGGGTTTGTAGGAGCCTCCACAGTCACAGTGGCCATCTTCTGCCTTGCCAGAGCTTCCAACTTCATCTACAAAAAGGATTTCACATCATTATTTCACACTTGTGAATTTCAGCTGCATATCCCAAGTATTAAGTTCAACATTCCTCAGACTCCTCCGGACCTCTTTTGTCACTCTATCAATACTTTTCCTCACCATCAGTTTAGAGAGATTTGTACTTTTCTATGAGCCAGAAGCTGTTCTGCATCTCCTGACATCTGTGACCTTCCTCCTCATGACTATGTCAGGGAATTGCAAATCAATTCAGTCTGCTCTGCTCATTCAAAAACTCATCACTGACCCTGAATGAAGTTGATGAACATTTCGAGGTCCCTTATCTGGGTCTTCAGTTGTTCCACCAGCTGCTCCTTCACCCTGGCTGGATTCACAATCTGTGCTATGGCAGCATCCACCCGCTGCCGCAGTTCCTCTGGAGAGAGCGTTGCAAAATCTTCACTCAAGTCCATGTCCAGCTTCTTTATCAACTCATTTATAATCATCTGCAAAACACAAGTGAGCAGTGAGATTTCACCATGTGGCACTGCTGCCCGGGAGCTTCAAGTACTCCTTTCCCAGAGGTTTTCTCAGAAACAGGATACCTTTGCTGCACAGAAATAACTGCAAAAAACACATGACAGGTTCACACGTGTAGACAAACTCCTGACACTCTATTATAGCTGCTGTTGAGAAATACAAACTGGCGACAGTCTGTAAGACACTCACAAGGGCTAGGAAATATAGCAGGAGGATCTGTGAGCCTTACCCGTTGTCTTTCCATAACCACAGACTGTGGCAGAGAATCATAGCTGCCCTCTTGGTAAGCAAAGGTCTCTAGGTCATCCAGCTGTGTCTTGAGCTGCAGGATCAGCTCTCTCTGCTTCTCCTTCTGGACCTCAATTTGCTCCTGCTTCTCTCGCTCACCCTGAAAAAAAAGTTATCAGTAAATAAAATGAAGACTTATTGTCATACCTAAACCACAGAGAACAGGGTTATGACGTGAGGAGTATCTGCTGCAGCTCATGTACTCATGTACACTAGCCAGCACTGCAAACCAGTCTGAGAGAGAAATGTGAGCACCAAGCAGAGGCTACATCACCTCGTCTGATAAGGGTGATAACTGAAGCACCTCTCCAGACCGCTTGCACCCATGTTCTGTCCCACAAGCCCAGGATCCAGGAAGAAAGCAGCCAAATAACACGTACATATCACAGATCCTCTGAGTCAGCCGTGCTGTACCAGGGCGTGGAGCGGTGACACACCACTCAGGGCTGCAGGGCACATCCCTGCGAGCTGGCTCCGAGTCACCAGGAGCCTGAGCACTGTGCAAACCCGAGCACCGCGGGCAGTGCAGCCGCCGAGCCGCTCCCGGCAGCGGGACCGCAGCCGCTAACGGGCTCCAGGCGGGGTTCAGCCACACACCGACCTCGGGGCTATGCCCAGCAAAGGCTCGCTCAGCCCGGCGCGGGACTCACCGCAGCGGCGCCGAGGCCGTGGGGCAGCGGCGCGGGGCAGCCGCGGAAGGCGAAGTCCTCGAGGTCGCGGAGCAGGCGCTGCTGCTCGGCCGGGCCGGCGCGGGCCACCTGCCGCAGCCGGAACTGCACCTGAGCGAAGTGCGAGGCGAGCGCCAGCAGCGCCCCGTGCAGCCGCCGCCGCTCGGCCCGCAGCTGCGGCACCGACTCCGGCGACTCTCCCCCCGTGGCCGCCGCCTCTTCGTCCTCCTCGTCCTCGTCCTCCTCCGCCGACACGGCGCCCACCGGCGCCCAGCGCTCGCCGGGGCCCAGCGAGCCGCTCTCTCCCTCCATAGCTGCCGCTACCGGCGCCGTGACGCCGCCGCCATCTTGGCGCTGCGGGGCGGGACGGGCGGGGCCATGGGTGGGGCTACCGGCGCCGGGGGCGCGCACCGGGGGGCGGGAGCGGTGCCGGTGGCGGGGGCGCGCACCGGGGGGCGGAGCGGCGGCGGGGCCGGTGGCGGGGCCGCGGGTTGGCTGCCCCGGCCCGGCCATGCCTGCCCTACCTTACCCTGCCCGGGCCCCGCGCCCCGCAGCCGCGCCCCCCGCCCGAAATAGCGCGGGGCGGGGTCGGCACCGCCATGGCGAGGTGAGCACGGCCGGACGGGACACGCGGCGCACGGAACCCATGCACCCGGCAGAGGCACCGCCCGGCGGGAGCCTCCGACCTGGAGCAGCGGGGAGCGGCGCCGGGCCAGGCAGAGGGGAGCGGACACAGCCGGCCGGGCCCCGCCGCCTGCCCGGCCAGGGCCGTGGGGGCGGCAGAGGGAAAAGTCACGGGCCTGTGTCCGCTACCCACCGGCCGGTCGGCACTGCCCGTCTGCTCCCACTGCCCGTCCCGGGGCCCCTTCCTCGCCCCCGGCCCTGGGCTAGCCCTGCTGAGCACTGCTGGGCACCGGGAAATGCCCGCTGCTGATAGCCGCTGCTCTGCTCTTCCCCAAGGCAACCCGCAAAGACACTGTGGTACGACCGGCCGCGCTATGTGTACCTGGAGTTCTGTGTGGAGGACAGCACGGACGTGAAGGTCGTCATCGAGGACCACCGGCTGGTGTTCAGGTGAGCTGCCACTGCCCTGCCGACCGACACGGCTCTGCTCTAGGGGTGGTTCAGAGGACCGGGAGGACTCTGAGAGAGAAGAGCACGCATGGCCTCAGCTCCCTCCTGAGCCCGGTTGTTATGATGCTTTGGCAGTTGCAAAAA